TTTTTTTATTAAATTTTTCTAAATACCATCACGCACAGGAATAATATACACACTGCAGACGAACAACACGAGCAAACGATGAGAATGTACATTATTTGTACACATACACACACACACACACACACACAAAAGCATGCGCGTACGTGTTTACCTGTATATGTGTGTAATTATTATTGTTATGTGTATGATAATAACATAATGTACGGTGAGCGCACGGCGTTCGTTGGAATCGTTCGCCCGCCGCAGTGGCAGTCACCCGAGACGAGAGAATCGGAGTGTGTACGAGATAGTGAGAAACGTAGAAAAAAAAACACCGCCCTCCGTCGAGACTCGTCGTCCGGCGTAGCTGGATAACAATAATAATTGTTATAATAGTTTATTACCTACTGTCGGATGGTTTTAAAAAATTGGGCGCGAAAGAATGAGAGAGAGAACGACTGTCGTCAAACGGGGCGGGAGTTATAAGGAAGTTCTCTGCTGTACCACCACCTGTAGAACATACACTCACGCGGAAACGCGCCGCCGCCGCGACGACGTCTAAGTCAGAGTAGGTGTCTACGGTGAAAATACGTCAATAATTAATCATAAAACGCGTTAAACGTGTACGGTAAAACGTATAGAAGAAAACATTTGTACGATCGTGTTCATCAAAATGTTTACGGATACGAAACGAGATCGACAGAGACTGGGTTAGCGGACGTTTGTGTTTGTTTTTGTTTTTATCGTGTGCACATGGCATTGGCGACGGTTGTAAAAAAATTCATTGAGGAAGAGGAGGTATGCGCGCGAAAGAGGGGGTGTCACGGGTGGTCGGTTCATTAATGACTGTACACACACACACTCACACACATACACATTCATCAATACAAACGAGCTCACGAATACACACACACACACATTTATCAATACAAACGAGCTCACGAATACACACACGCACATGTATAATAATAATAAAGTATATGATATAAACATGGAAAAAGAGAACGATTCTCTCTCATCACGACCTTGACGGTTGCCGCCGCGTCGCATACCAAACACCACGCCAGACACCGCAAGCAAGCACACCAGCGTTCTCCGACGTTAAAAAACGCGCCTTCGTCTTTCTCCTCAATGAACCCCTCTCACGCACGCGTAGACGTAACCGCACCACCGCCGCCGTAGCACACAACAATAATAATAATATCGTGAGCAACAAATAACAATGATGGTATTACTACGATATGGTGCATGCGTCGTCAATATATACGAAAAAATAGTAATAAAAATAGTTAACATAATACGTTATCATATTTTTTGCGGGCGCCACTCGTACGTTCTCGTACGAATATAATAATACGCTGTAGGTACCTATATACAAACGGTATAGATCAAACGTATTGTTTTAGACCAGTTCGTCCGAAACACACACATATGTATATATTATGAGGAGTGAGAACACGAATTTACACAATGTTGTGACAGAGCGGACAAGGATCCCACCAGAGTAAAAAATGTACTGTGGTATTCTTTGCGAGAATAAGTAATCGACGTAATGATAATGAACGCGAAAAAAATTAATACACGCGCGTTCAAATAACTGTTTCACGGGTTATTGAAAATAATAGGTATGTTAAACGCGCGCGTTTAAACGGCACACGATAGGTAGTTATTATTATATTTATTACGGTTATAATATTATTAATCTTCGTAAACGCAATATTATAATAAATTGTCTACGTCGATAAACGCCGGTCGTGCATGATGGTTTACGTTTATCTAGTATCTACGCCTATATTACAACGCTAATGTTTCATATACCGCGACTACCGATGGTTATTATCGATGATGTTTAATATCATATCACATTACGACAGTGTCTATAGCAAATATTATTAACATTAATAATTATAGTTGTAGTTCAGGAATCGCAGTTTTTTATGCGTTATTAAACGGGCAACGTATGAAGTGTCGAATGTAAAATTATATATTATTAATTATTGTCGCGCGGATGTCGTGTTAAGGCTATAGGTAGGTCAGGTAGATGTATACACACACACACACATATACATATATATATATATATATATATTGTTACATTATGGCGAACGGTTATTGGCATGACGGGCGTACACTGCTTGCGGGTGTATATTTTGTTACGGGACATATAATATTATATTTATGTAATACTATTATTGTAAGTAGTATATTATATAGTAGGTAATTTATGATAATTCATTGGTAGACAGTAGAATTTCGATAACTCACAGCTAAAAAGATTATTAACATGTAAATAAATGATAATAACACGTACGAATCAATACTCACGAGTCGATTTTAAATGCATTAACATTCCTTAATACGTAAGTTTTTATAATATTGTCATCATAATTATTGTGCGATATTTGTAAATTGTAGGTTTTAGGTAGGTATCTGCTGCAATTATTATTAAGTGCTATAAGGTACCTATACTGACTTATCGATATTCTACTGCTGTGTTTCTTATAAAAATACAATTAAGAAATGTACAATAAAAAACTTACCTCCTTTTTTTCTTGTCATCAACATTATTGCATTGACTAAATGTATATGTATAATAATATTATGTCATCAAATGCCGTACGCAAACATATATTTAGAATAAATATTGCAGTGTGAGTTATAAGGACGCTCGCTCGTTAAGATAATTTGCATTAAGTCACAAATCGTTTATTTTTGATTTATGCGTATTCAAATGGAAATGATTTTAATAAAATTAAAAAATATCCATTTGATTTGCAAAAGGTAAAATTGATAAAATGCTTTGTATTATATTCTAGACGTGATATATTTTTCCTCTAAAAAAACAAAAGGCCTAATCTATTTCCGTGCAAATTTGAAATCATTATTTTACTTTTTTTTTTTATTACATAAATATGGGAACGATCAATGTCAATTAGTTGTTTGTTTTTTGAATGTGGTATTTACAAAATAGAAATTTAACAAAATGATAAGAAAATCATTATACATAAATAATATATAATTTTATAAAATACTAATAGCCGACAATTTTTTTGATTTAAATTATTAAAAAAGGAACAGCATCAACAAAAGAAAAACCGTATGGAAAATACTGAACAAAAGTAAAAAAAATACATTATGTAAATTGTATTAATTTAAATAATCGCTTAAAGCATGTTTTTTTGCAATTATACATGAGAACATAACTATTATTATTATATTTAATTGTATTTAATAATTTTACGATATGTATATTATTATATAAACATTATAAACTGAATAAAACCATCGAATCGTATCAATATTTTTGTATATTCTCTTAATGATTTAGGAAGTACGATATAAAATATTAAATTAATTTCCTTTTTTGATATAATATGATTAAAAAAACGATAAATTAAATCGAATAACTTTTATTTCTTTTAATTCTTGGAGGAAAAATATGTGCAAATATAGAATAAAACACGTTTAATTATAGTCGTGGCGTGATTATATATAGGTATATTAAGTTTTTATACAGTAAGCTAAAGAATATGCCTATAGGTACGTGATGTTATTAATAGATCACGCGTACAAACGTCTTACACATCGATAAAACGACAATACATGCATTAAAAATTAAAATCATTTAATACCGCAAGTAGATGTAAACTGTAAATATTAATAAAAGTAATTGCGGAGGAATATATAGGTACACGTATATACCTATAAATAACTATAAATATATCATATAAAATTATATGTGATACATATGTATGTTGCTCAGTAATGAGTATAACGCTAAAGTAAATGGTATAATGATTATACCATATTATTATGCTTATAATACTAAATAAATATAAAAATCAATTATAGCTGTAAAATGTTTTTTCGAGGTTTCAAACACGGTTATGTAATAAAAACATAACTGTGATCGATATAATATCTACATTACCTATACATACACAACAACAACACACGTATATACAACGGCAATGAATAGGCGTCATTACGTGAGATATATACCTTTACATGCCGTATTTGCACGTCATTTACGATGAATTTAATACCTTAAACCTATTATTATGTTTTAAATTTTTTGTTTAGACATTTTTTCCAAGAAACGTAGGTACTATTATGTCTTAATTTGATGTATAATCTATAATATTTTTTGAAGATTTTTTCTAGTTATTTACATGTTTTAAGTTTTGTACGAAGTGACCAAATTACGCAGTTGTAGCGTAAGCAAATATAATACGAGATATTAATAAGAAAAATTAATTTATAATAATAAAAAAAACCTTATTAAGTGAACGATAATATTACGCGCTATGATTATTAAGAAATTGAGACTGAACCACGTGCAACAACTAGTGTTATAAACTTATATCTATGTTTTTATGTATATATAACTATACATATACGAACATAATATATATTATGTTAGACTAGGTCAGAATTTTGAGTGAGATAGGGTGAAATAAATTTTTTTGAAAAACGATGAGTATATACATACGCGTGCTTAAGTGTTAATAAAAAATAAATAAATATTTGCACTTTCATGTTTAATGACAATTTGGTAATTATTATTTTTTTAAGGTTTTTTTTATTATTTTAATTAATTCAAAGTACCGACACAGATGATAACAATATTTTTCAAATGTATAAATTATACACATTATAATATACATAAAATAATATATATAAGCTTAAAATTAAATATCACCAAGTCTATATAGCTAATATTCTCTGCATAACACATCATTATATTACTAATTTATACCATTGTTATCATTATTTATTATTTGTAGAGTAAAATTGTGAAATTTTAGGTAAGTATTATGAAACACTCGTGCAGTAATATAAAAATATAAAAATCGCAATTGTAAAATTATAAAGACAATAAAAAGTAAATTAATAAATTATAATGTTTAAAAATAATATAACAATAATAACATTGGCAGAATAGTAGAATGAAGCAATAAGTCTTAACGACAAACGAAAAAAAATAATATTTCATATCGGTAAATTATAATTGCTATTACCTTGTAAATCCGGGAGATGTGTTGCTGGTCTTGCTTGTGGGAATTGTGGTAACACCTCGGGTGGATCGTGAGTGGCCGCCTGTATGCAGGAGAACGTGACAGTAAGCAGCATGAACAAACTCGCCATGGTCGCCATCGTGTTGTGGGTTTGACGGAAAAATGAATTAATTTGAACCATTGTCGGTAATGAGAAAAAGTCGAACAAAAATTAAAATACTCTCAGCGAGCGCGCGGCGCGTACGAGTGAAAAGAGTGCGAGTCACAAAGAGAAAAACAAAAATGTAAGTTAATCACTGAGCGGACAGAGGGACAGAGGGACAGAGGGACAGAGGGACAGAGTGACAGAGTGACAGAGTATAACTGGAGAATAAGTCGGACGACTGATGACGCGATAATGGTGTTCGGCCCGGCTGCGTGCGCTTTTATAAGTCACGTCGGCGGCGGCGGCGGCGGCGGCGCGACGGTGTGGAAGTGGTTTCCACCACCGGTTGCGCGTCCAAGGCCCATTAAAAAGCGCGCCTACCGGACCCACCGGGCGAACCGCAATATTCTATTGGACGAACTTCTCTTCAACTTTCCCGCTCGCCCATCGATATGCCAGCCCATCTAACCACCCATCAGCCGGCACCGAGAACGAATCCGGGCATGCGCACACGGTCAAACACTCGCGTTAACACACCTGCACGGCGGCGGCAGCGGTGGCAGCGGCGGCGTCGGATGGCGGGAATGCGACGACCGGACGACAAACGTCGGCCGTATGCATTTAATATACACGACAATACGATGTAATCGAGAACATAATATTTTAATGAAATATGAATATATTAATGATATATATATATATATATTATATGCTTCGAAACACGGCAAACGTATCCCATCTCGACGCGTGATTGTAGGTTACATTCACACGAATTCTCTGTACTTATATTATATTATATATAATAGGATTATATGTTATACCCATGTGCGCACCTGAAATATGGCCCGAAATCACATGATATAAGTTCATCACGATCTCATACTATTATAGTATAATATTGTGTTTATATAATAAAATAATATTATTTTATAGTACAAAATATATATTTTGTCCAAACATTACAGGCATGTGCAGACACGCGAGTATTATACGAACTATGTACCTATGCAGTGCCGTATTTCTCAGTAAACACTGTAAGCACGTGTTTACAGCGGCAAATATTGAATAGGTATTTACAATTTTCTTTATTCCCAAACTAAATTCTGTTGGTGATTTTTATTTATACTTCTCATTATTATAATTCTTAAAAAAATGTTTAAATAAAAAATGTACATTTAATGCACAAAAGTTAATAAGGAAAATAATAATAAAATATATATGTCTATCCGCAGCCCATTGTCTGCAATAACATCTAGCAAATAGCATAAAACGTTGAACGGTAAATTAAATATCATACAGGTTAAAGGTTTTATTACTCGTATTATCGTTGAATTTTCAAAATTATTTTGCGCTTTTGATCTATCGAAAAAATCGACGATCAAATTCATTAAGTTTTATTAGTAATTAAATCAGAACTAGTAGTAGGTACACAACATAGATTTTGAAGATATTGTAAATGATTTTGCTAGTCAAAAGTCACGCAGAAAATCAATTATATATATATTTTTATTTTTTATTTATACTTTTTTGTATTAATATAAATTAAATAGTTAAAATATAATATTATAATATTTATCATCATTATTATACTGTTCTGTAAAAGTTAATAATTTAAAATTTAAAATATTATTTAATAAAAAAATACCTATAAGTATTTTTTTTTCTATATTATATTATAAACTTTATAATAATATAAAATTAATGTATATACATGATAAAGGCGGTCATTTTGTATAGTATATTTACAACGGCATAGTGATCAAATCCGGCACTGACTATATGTATATTGTATATGAAATATGTAATATGCATAAAATATACACATTGAAAGATTGTCGAATGAAAAAAAAATACGCTATATTATCCACCGCGTATTATGTATTATATATAATCATACAGACGTAATAGGTATACCGAAAAAATCATATCATAGTTCATGTTTAATATGTATATACGTAAATATTATATAATATTGAGATGTCGCCTGTGAAGTCGATGATTTTTCGCAGTGTCACATGCGTTCGCATTAATTATTATTTTATTGAGTAGGTACACAATTATAGTGTAATACTTCCAATAGGTACCTGTCTATTGACAACTCTATTTTTCCCGTGTTTTATTGGCTTGCTGTATAATTTACAAACGCGTCGATGATAATATTATGTAAATAATGTTTAATGTTCACGACAAAAAAAAAAAATCACATGATTTCCAATCTTCCAGATATACCTATAGTTTTATTTTATTTTTATTTTTTTCAATTTAATATGATTAATCAGTATATATAATATTATGTTAACTGTTTACATTATAATATTATAATATCGTTTACAAATACTCGATGGTCTGCACTGAAAATACGATCTTCAAAAAGCTTGAGTATGAGATGTATATATATAGGTACATTTAATAATATTATATTAATTTCGTTTGGTCTAAAGATAGCCGTTTTCATATGTTGACCTTTTTAATTTGTAGCGTGCTGTTAAAGGTTAATTATATATACATGAAGGTTTTAATTGTGTATTTAATATATATTTTTATATCCATACAAAATTCCAAAGTTAAAAGTTAAAAAATATTAATAGTTTTAATTCTAAATAATATAATATATAGGTACTCTTCAACTCCATTCACGCGACACTGAATTAAATACACATGTTTTTTTTTTTTATAGGTTCTTATAATATTAACTGTATGGTAAAGAAGTAGTCCAATGATAAAAACAATTATTATTTACATTTTGGCATTACGAATAAAAAACTCAAATGGTGCCACTACGAAGTATAGGGTTGACCGACAATTAGTGTTGGCCCAATGCAGTAGGAAAATATAGGGAGCCGTCTAGGGCGGCAAATTTCAATGAACCAAATCGATTTAATTATTATATTATCTAGTATATACAGAAATGTGTGTTCATCGTTCAACAAATACAAAAATGTCTAATAGTACTTATTATAATAATATTTTGTTTACTGCGCGGACGTACCGTAATCGTAGTGTTGCACCTATACGCAAATAGAACGGCAATAACGTTAAATTTAATGCGGTGGGATAGAAACGAATGTGTATATTATTTATATAAACCCTTCCTCTCCAAAAAATCAACTTTTTAATAAGGCAGTGTAAATTAAAATTGTCTATAGGACGGCGAAAAATGTAAGACCGACCTGCCTGCAATTATTATACAATATTATTTCATGTACACGATTTATAGTCTGTTTGTCATATCTAAAATAAATACTGTACACAACTATGGCGTGAAATTATGAGTGTTTTATGAATTTATGATACATATCAACAATAGTATCTTATTAGATTAATTTGAACAAGATTTTTATCAATTTAACAGTTTGTCTGATTAATATAATCATAAATTTGAACTATTATAATAACTTTTAAGTACCTATAGGTTATATACCTATAAGTTCTTTTGACAAATATCTATTGTTAACTAAATAGCAACAATACAATTAGTATTAATTATCAAACTAACACAATTAAATAGTTTTATTCAATATGAACAGGATTTTTTTTTTTAGTGCCTAATTCATATAATACTATTATCATTAATATTTGTAATTTAAATATCATTAATATTTTTATTTTATACTCTCCACAATATTTGTATGTAATAGAAGTATAATATTAAGCCACTGGCACACACGTAAGATTGTATACTACAATAAATAAATAAATTATATACTAGGTACTATATATAGCAGGGGTGGCCAAATCACGGCTCGCGAGCCGCATGCGGCTCTCGTCACAGTCGTATGCGGCTCGCGGTCTTATTTACAAAAACCAAAATATTTTAATTTTTTTTGTATACATTTATAAAAAAATGTTTTTATTGTATTTATTTAAGGCTTAGAACATAGAATATAGATTAAATCAAACAAAAAAAAAATTAATTAATATGAATAATAAATTAAAAAATTAAACATTAAGCTAATTTTGTTTGCGTGGTATTTTTTTCGTGTCTACTTTTTTAGTAAGCTTCTTAAGATCTGGTTGAATTGATGTAAGAGCAGTTCTTAGTAATTCTGTAAGATGATCATCAGTCAAATTTGAACGATATTTTGACTTAATTATTTTCATTGTTGAATAAAGTGATTCACATGAATACGTCGTTCCAAAAATTGATATCAATTTTACCGCACAGTTTTTAATATTTGGGTATTTTAATATAGAAATATGCTTCCAAAATTCCAATATAGAGGGACAATTGCTTATAAACTGCTTAAGACCTTCATCTTCTAATAACTCCAAGAGTTCTATTTCGAGATCCGCTTTATTTGTGATGATAGGATGTGATAATGGACATCCCTTTTCAATGACATTAACTAAAAATGGATTTTCTAAAAATCCGAATGAGGGTTTTAATGCCTTTAGGTCTCGAAATCGTTCTTCGAAGTCGGTAAATAGAAATTCAAGTTTAAGTACATAGTCGTCACAATTAATTTTTATTTCTGATTCTATCAGGCACGCTTCTATTTTTTCTAAACATGAAAAGTGAGTAAAATTGTTTGATTGTAAATCTCGTATGAAAAGTTTTAGTTTATTTTGAAAACTAAATACTTTTTGCGCTAGGTCATTAACTAATTTATTTTGACCTTGAAGAGATACATTTAATGTTGATAAATGTTGCATGATGTCGGTGAAAAATGCCAAATCTCTTAACCAATTTGAATTTGAAAGTTGAGGAAAACTTTTATTTTTTTCTATTAAAAATACTTTGATTGGTTCTATTAATTGAAAAAATTTAGTTAAAATGTTATTGACCGACAACCATCTAACTAGACAATACCATGGGACATCATTAGGAATATCATCTTCTATGTCTTCTAGGAAGTTTTTAAACTGCCGATGTGTTTTTGCACTTGAACGTATGTAATTTACAATTTTTAAAACAACATCCATCACATGATCATATTTAAAATATTTAGCAGTTAGGTGTTCTCTATGTAGAATACAATGAATAGGTATAAAATCTGGGAAATTAGTATCATTTTTTAAAAGTCCTATTAATCCATTTTTACAACCCACCATACTAGGAGCTCCATCAGTTGAAATGCTTATAATTTTGTTTAGTGGAATTTCAGCTTTTTGTAGAGTTTCATCGAGAGCAATCTTAATGTCAATACCCCGAGTAGTTTCCTTCAATGAAATTAGATCTAACAACTCTTCTTTCACATCTACATCACTCGTAACATAACGAACAAATATGG